GCCTGGGTATCATGAAACTTTTAATCTCCCTGTAAATCAAATTTTTAACTTATTTTTTCTTTATTGTAAAAATGGAAACATTCTGTCCATCCTTTAAAACCTCTGCAAATCCTAAGTGCTTCAAAATTGAAAATTAAAAACCACAAGCAACTTAAAACAAAAAACCCATCATATCCAAGGGCTGGAAATGCAGCAGCTGTCAACTGTTTGTCTTCATACTTTCTGTTCAATGGATTTAATGCTTAGAAGTAAAAATAATTTTTTTGAGACKCTATWTTTAAGCAAATTTATAATGGGRGTTTCCTTCAATGTCTGTTTYCAAAGTGAATCCCAGGTTTCAGGTRATGGCYCAATATKAAATATTTTGATTTTTGAATTAGRGATGSTTCTTWGCCTTTTCCTTACTTTCTTTCACTGTTTTCATCCTGCTATAGGGAAAAAAATACCCGAGTTCTTACAGAGTATGGATGCAGTTACAAAGTGATGATAGCCAAATACTTTCATTATTCCAGGGAACTGAAGGAGCATTTAAGGAAACTGAAATTTATGATCAGAATCAGTATCATTTCAGAGCTTAGCAGGAGTACCATTCCTTTTTTTGAATTAGAAATACCAATCCTCAGTTAGGCTTCTTAYTAATTCTGAATCCATTCTGTACAGAAATGTAGGAACTATTTTCCTGTGATTAATGTGGGCTGTTTTGGAAGTTGGCAGTTGTCTTTTCTCCTGTTTAGAAAACCAAGAAAGCCAATAAATTTATCACTTATTTTTAATTATTTCTTCACTTGTTTTCCAGTAAATGAAAAAAAGCAYTTAAAAAARAAAAGTTACCTTGCATTTTTAATCTGTAGATTATATCCTTGACAAAAAATGCCATTTTTGTAAGGGAGGAGCCTCTAAAGGGGGGCAGTGCAGGATTCTGCAGCTCAGGCTGCCCTTCCACATCAYTGTTGATCAAAACCAGCTTGGCCCAACTCAGCCACCACCAAAAAGCTGCTTTAGTAAGRGTTTGCTGCAGAAACCTGTGAGCCATCACCCTTTTTTCAGCRTGGTTTTGGCTCCCAGGGTCTTGCAGAGCTCCCGCTCCCCTCTCCAAGTCTCACTTGTCCAGCTTTGCACATGCTTACCCAGCTTTCTGACCAGATGGAGCTGCTTTTCACTTCAGCTTAWATTAGGCAGTAATAATAAAGGTTAATGCACGTGAAGAATAAAAATATTTGGATGTGGCCTTCCCAAAATAACGTCAGAAAAATGCTAATCCACCCCTGAGCTGTAAGAAAAAAATCCYGACCATGAAATTCTGGATTTTTCAAAAAAAGCACACTGCTGCCCAGCTATGGCTGTGAATAAAAAAGGTGAAATCTCTCSTCCTTATTTCATGTTGGTGTTCCAGCAGGAATGCATATCAGCATTTGAAAATGGTGTTTTGGTTTTGGGAGGCAGTTTGTTTTAGGGATGAATTGATTTGGGTTGTGCAAAGAAATAAGAGCTGGATTATCCAGGAGTGTGTTKSGYTTCCTGCTYCTCAYGWTCYTCCTYATCCCTGSAGTTTGAAAGCCTTTTTTGGGGWGAGTGCAGGCTTGGCCACTTTTGGKGAAGGTGAGCTGGGTCAGGAACTCAGCCCAGAGCCTGCCAAGACATCATGGAGACATTTTGGGTCACTCTTCACTTTGTTTTCTTCTGGTACTTAGCAACATATCTGATATGCTTTGGGTTTGGGAAAGGAAATCCTCCATGTGTGAATGCCATTTTACAGTGCTGTGGGGCTGGGAACAGAACATTTTAACACCTCTGTGCAGTCTTTATGGGGTCACAGTGGCAAGGYTGAATTAGATGTGAAATCTCTCCTGTATTCAAATTTCAGTAGACAACTGCAACATAAATAATTTGCTGCTGTAGGAGTATAGGGGAGAAAAGAAAGAAGTGACAGCTAATTTATTCAACAAGAATTCAACTGTATTTTTAGCTCTCAGACTTCCACAATAATATTTCTGTTTTCAGTTGGCAGCTGCAGTTGCCCAGTTTCCTAAAATTRCAGGTACTTTCAGTCTCCATAATTAATGGCTCTGTATTTTGTKTATCTACCATCCAGGCTATGTTGATAGATGTAACTGAATTAAGGGATGGAACCTTGTTTGTTTTTTTATGTCAAATGACAGTGTCTTTTCTGCAGACTACAATAAATCAACAGCTCAGGAGGTGAAAAATGAGAAAGTGTGAGGAGGAAAAAATAAGCCCTTTTARAAACTTTTTAGTGGTGAAAATACTGCATTCAGTAATTAGAGCAATGACTGAAGTTGCCCTAACATACTGTTGCACTATCTGATCAGTCAGGGCCTTTCCAGGAATAGAGGTCACTAAATAAARTTTCTTTACTAAAGCTTGGAAGTAACAGGATGGCTTTTTCTTATTTTCAGCAAGGCACTTTATTTAATAAAGCATTTGGTCTCGTTTTGGATTGTGATTGATGCTGTATCCCAGCATCAGCCACTCAGGGAAGGCCTGTTAAAATTCAGTTGGCATCATCTGGAATAGAAAAATTTTACCATGTGCCACTCAACAGGAGCAGATATTTAAGTTTTCTTAYTGGGAAAGTGATTTCTTTGTTAAAGTGTGCCAGAGCCCAAGCTGCTTTTATTTTCCWTTAAATTATCTTAAATTTATTCTGCTTATTTTAAAATTTTCTTTAAAGGAAATAGTTTCCTGAATTCCTATGATCTTGCCTCCAGACCAGCAGCAAATGACAGGTGGCTGAGTTTTGGACTCACAGATTTGTTATGATGGTGACACGAGTTCCTATTTGCCTTCTCTGAAAGCTTAACTATGTACCTGAGATTATTTTACTTAACATCTCAGTAAAAGGTTTCTTTTTCAGATGGACCTTAAATTACACATATTTAAGTACTTTTACAGAAGTTTATTTTTATTATTAAAGCTTTTATTTGAAGGGGAGTCAGTAGAAGAACAGGTAATCAGTGTAGAAATTTGGAATGTTGTTTTTAATTGCAAGGAGGCAACGAGTAAAATTGGAGTAAGTGCTGAGCMGCAAGAGCAGAGGTCAGCTGAGCCAGAAAGGCTGCAGTGAAACCAAAGGTTCAGTAGCTTTTGTCACTCCAGGAAATCAAACCTGAGGCCAGGAGCAGTGCAAGAAGAGGATGAACTGAGCCAGAGCATCAGCCTTTGGGAGCATTTGAATTCAGTGAGTGTCACACAGTGAGCAGTGAACAGCTCTGAAGGGCTGTGAGGGCTCAGCTTGGCCAAAATCCATCTCAGAGTGCAGACTGAGAGTCAGCCTAGAGGTGCAGTAAATAGAAACTTTCCAATTTCAGAAGTTAAAATAACTTKACACTTGTGTCACCTCCAGTGGCTAAACTTGCAGATTTTTCCTYGGTGAGCTCAGGAAGGAGGAGGATGTAACAGAAGAGGCAGAAGGGYTGGTGGTAAAACCAACCTATTGGGATATCAGGGAGGTGTTGGCCACACATCAAAAACCTGATGGATTTCAAAAGAGGGAGAGAAAGCCATAAAGTGTTTTTGACTGGGTGTTTATCTAAAGCAATTGCCAACAATAATTAGTGGAGAGCACAATCTCAGCRAGCACTGCTCAGATTTTCTTCCTTCAAACCATGTTTTCCTAGTTAARTYKTAAGAAACACAGTGGGCTTTCATGTCAGGAATCAAAACACAGATAAAAGTAATRAAGTCATTCTAAACTTGGTAAGGCAACCTTCATTAAGTTTCACATAATAAATTCAGGCAATCAGCAGAAAAAAAAGGTTTATAAACCATTTCTTTGGATGAACAGGGGCAGGTTCTTGAGAAGGTCTTGCACAGAAAAGCTTTTCAYGGCCTCCTTTGTCTTAAAACATGAAGAAGCGTAAATTAAAAGCAGAAAGAATGTCCAAAAGAAAACTATTTTCATAGTTTATGTCCCAAAATACTGATATTCCAGTGAGCATCTCTATTATTGCTGCCATTTATATGGTTCTGTTCTCAAACTCATGCTTCAGTCTGTGTTGACTCTTCTTGGTGACTTTTTGAACCTAAAGTTCAGAAAAGTCCAAGATTTCTTTCCCCACTGTTTTGTAATAATTTTACTTATTTATCCTGCAGTGGCCTCAGATGTGTTGCACGTTCTCTGAGTTTCTTTAAAGAGTTTTCTAACACTGTAGTGCAAATTTTTCTGCCACACAGCAGCTATATAACATTATTATTCAGCAGCAGGAGCTTCAATGGGATTCATAAAAATAAGGAAATTTTAACTTGTTCAACAACACTCTTATGTGTTTGATTCTGGATAAATTAAGTCACAAGGGGTCTGTATATGGAGGTAATAAGGTTTAACTGTGGTGGATCTTTGAAGAGGAATTGGTTGTTCCCACYCAGGGAGTGCTTTCACTGCTCAACCTGTTGATGTACAGAGCTCAGGGATCAGACTTGAAGTAAGAACATGTAGAAAGGCACCCAGAAACCTTTATAAGTGAGGGGAAAACAGATGGGGGCTGGAGGGCCGGGGAGTTTCACCTGGGAAAGTGTTTTATTGCCTGATGTTCACCTAAGGAAACAGCCTGGGGGCTTCCTGCTGGTTTTAATACACCTGTCCCAGCTGGTGCTGGTGGGTTTTGGAAGGGGTGCAGTAAAGACAAATCTCTCCTGGTCAGTTCTGTTTTAGAGCCTTTCCCAGACAGAGTTTGACTTCTGGCTCCAGGGGCATTAAATGAATGTGAATTTTTAAATCCAGCAGTAGAGGTGTTTTCAGAAATGCCATCCATCACCATTAGAAATGCGTGATGCACCATTTATCTTTTCACACACAGTTCCTTTGCAGGCTGGGTTTTGTTTCCACGATTCAAGAACACTTTGCAGCTCAGCTTTCATCTGCAGATGACTTCCCTCACTTCATGCAGTTTCCATTATGATTATTGAAGCTGGTGGTATACATGAAGGTGATGTGGACAGTATAAATAACTGATTTGTGTGTTTTCTGATTGCCTGTGCAGTGGATGAAGGGCGCCTGAAGGAGCTGGGCAGGGTGAGAGTGCTCCACAAGAGAACCGTGATGCCTTACAGCGTCTACAAGAAGAGGAGGAAGGGGCCCAGTGACGAAGCCAACGTTCAGCAATATGCCAGCCTGGTGGGACAGACCTGCTCAGAAAGAATGCTGCTGTTTAGGAGCTGAAAACCCACAAAATTGGCATTTCAATGGCGCTGCCTTTGACTGCACTGCCACGGGATGCTCTGTACCATAGCTGTGTGCTGAAACAGGCTGAAACACAGGTATTTATCCAGGCTAATGTCAGCACATGGTACTGTATGTAAAGGCCAACTCCAGTAAATCTTACAGTACAGCAAGGCTTTAGCAATAGAAGTGTAGAAAAACACGCTTGCAGTATATTTTAATTAAGTAGTTCTAGCCTTTCTATGCATTATGAATAATTCTARGTATGAAGCAAAATGAAAAACAGGTGTCTTTTTTTTTTTTCTAGTAGAGACAAAGGTTGACTAAATCTAGATTAACAATCATCAAATCACAGCTGTTTTCAAATAGCACCTTGGAGATCTGTCATCAAAAATCGCCGTGAAATTCGTGCTCGCATTTGTACGCTCCTAAAATCTTGCAAGAGGACTGAAACGTGCTATCACTTTATGGCATTATACCATTTTATTTCAGCAGTATGTTTAAAAAACAGGAAGAAATTCTTTTCACTGCACATTCTTGGTTTGTTTAAAGCAGTAAGTCAGTGTCAGAGGTCCTAGTGAGTKTAGGAGTTCCTGGTAGGTTCTCAGTGGCAGGGGATGCAGTGCTCTGGAAAACTTTGCCCTTCAGAGAAGAAGCAGAACAGTTGCACTATAAATATACCAAAGATTTGCAGCCAAGTGGCACGGTGGTTTTTGSTATAAGCCTTATCCTTTGTCTGGCAGGAGTGGGTATTTCCATGCACATTGCTAATGTGGAATAGAGCTCCAAATAGAGGTTTATCCTGGAGCTCTCTGCACATTGCAGAACTATGCTAACAAAAAAACAACAGGAGGTACCACTGCTGGGTTTTGTTGCAGGTGCTTTTTTTTTTTTTCCTGCAGAATTATGCAGGAAGACTTAAATACCATATTCCTGCTTTTTTACTGACTGTTTTGTTTCTGGTGCAGCAGCTCACGGGTTAACATCTTTAATAACTTTTTAGTAAATACTTCTGTTGGAAACACAGGAAGTTGTGATCCTTTATGAAAGCACTTTATTATCTCATCTATGAACGTTGTCTGTGTCCCTATCAAGTCATACAAGTTGTAGGAATTTGGGGAAATAACACAGTTGTATAATTCAGTAATGTATTACAACGCTGTAACATTACCAATGCATTTGTGTTTCTTATCTTCTTGGATAACAGGGGCTGGTATTTACCTTGAATCAACTTGGAGTTTCCTGTTAGCCTTTGAACAAAGATTCTTATTCAAGGATATATGGGTGGTTTTCCCCCAGAAAGGAAACAAATTCAGTTTTACCCTCTGAGGGTTACATCACCTGTCATTCATAGATTCATTGACTTAATTTTAAACACTTGGCCAATATTATTAATCATTAATTTTTATGTGGAGCAGACATAAGAACTTGGGGAATCAAGTGCAATGCAGATTTAATTTCGTTTTTTCATATCTGATATGAAATTAGTGTAATATTGCAATCTTATTGACAGAGAGCACAGCTTCGATAGCAACTTTAAAAAGTAATTTTATGTTTTATTAATTGGGCTGCATGGCATTGATCTACTCCCAATCTACAACAGAAATGGCCATTCCTGCCAGCCTCCMAGCTGGTGTGTGTTTTTCTGTTGCCTGGTACTGAGAAGTTTCTTTGCACTGTACCTTCYCATTTGTCCATGCCTTACCTCAGCCTCCTGCCCTGGGAGAACCACTGAATAATCCYCGTGGAGATTATTGTGAAGATTTCCTTTCTGTGGAGAAAATAYTTTCACCCCTCTGACTTGTCAAATTGTGTAACATTTTCTTCCTACACAAGGTGCAGGAAAGTGGTGGTGCCCATATGGCTGGCAACCAAAATAAATGAGAAAACATTTTTGTATGATATGAATTTCACGATAAATTGCAAAATCTTTATCAAAACCATTTAATGGTGGCCACGCTGAGCTCCTGGAGAAGCTGGGGCTTCTGTTAAATTTCCAGGGAGCAGATTTTATGTCCCCACTGAGAGTTCCTGGAGAGCTCCATCTCTTGGTGCCCGTATTTGTTAYTGATATGCCTTGGGTCAGACTTGTATCTGATGCTCTGTTTCTCTGGGGGAGCTTTTAAGGACTGCAGTTAAAGGAAAGTGAGATCAGTATGAATTGAAAGCTGAGCACAGCTTGAAGCTGTCCACTCGAGGTAAATGACCATTTCCTGTGAGTCTGAAATGGTGCTTTCACTTTCTGACCCCATGGCAGGCTGGGCTCCTGGCTCCTGCTCAACTCAAATATGTATTTATATTAAAAAGCAAAAACAGGCAGCACTGAGATTAACTTAGAAACCGAGTTCATCTGGTGTGGTTTGCTGAGATCTGACTCACTGTAGTGTTTTTAGAAGGAAACTGGTGCAGTATTTTTCAGGACTGATACCTCTRTCCCTGTTTTTAGAAGGGGGACAGAGGCTGAGGATGAAGTTCTGTAAATTTTGCCTGTGACTTCAGTGGAGCTGAAAATTCACCACTATTCCAATTTTATTTAATGTATTGTCGTTGACAATTATTGAATCTAGAGATATTTAATTTAGCACAAACTGTTTTATGAGAGTGTTTTTGGTGTAGCTGGTTTGTGAGAGTCAATCCCCAATGTAAGATTGCCTTGTCCTGTCCTCTGTTCTGATGATAAATGAACATAAAATGGTGATAAGAAAATGCAGAGTTGTGAGCAGTGCTAAAAAATATAATTTTTTGTATGAATTGGAAAGAAATGGGAAGCTTACACATTTCCAGCATCAGCACATGTCAGTAAATGCAAAAGAACCCGCATGTTGAGTTTGTAATTGCTTTTAACAGGCCTGTTTGACTTGCAAGTGTAGAAAATAAAGTTATTTCCAGTCTCTGTGAATTATTATAAGAAATAATACCTCTGAATGTGATTTTTGTATTACTTTGTARGGAATTCATTATCCTGGAGATTGACCAAGTGTCCACTGATCAGCAAAATCAAAGGGGTCATCAAAGGGGAGCAATGATTTGAAGGGATGCCTTTAAAAATCAATGTTCAGAACCATGTTCAAAACAAATTTCCCATTTTGGAACTAATCTTTGGTTCCAGACAGACAGATTAATGAAGAGGTGGTGTGAAATACAATTTACACTTCTTTTCTGAGTAAATAAAATAAAATAAATAAAATAAAATAAAAATGAAATGAAATAAAATAAAATAAAATAAAATAGGCTTTTCACAAATGGATGCTATGCAGGACTAGCTGTTTGTTTGAGTTCACCTGCACCATTTCTATGTGGTTGAACAAAAACCAATCATCTCTGAATTAAGGAGTCAAACCAGCAGCACAGAAATTGGGTTTGTGTGCAAAAAGATCACCAAACACTGCTTCATTTTCTGGCTGAATGGGACACAATTTCAGCTAATTCTGGATTCCTGAACGAGATTTTTCTCAAAGCCCAGCACCACCATGGCTGGAGATGTTGGTGGGATTTCTCCTGTTCCTCCTGTGGAGTCTGCATCCATCAATCCTTTTGAGGTTCTGAGAATGAATATCTTTGCCAGGTGATCATTCTGAAGCTCCAGCCTGATCARCCACACATTTCTGAATTATTTGTGAATTCCATCTCATCCTGATTGTCCCAGATAATCCTCCAAACACATTAATTATGTGCTCTCCTCATTATTCTCTCCTCCACTGAAGCCTTAATGGCTCTTCCTGCTCATTCTGTGCTCTACAGGAAGATTCTGCATTTGGAAGGGTGGAGACAATTTTTGGGGCAGAAATCATCACTTTTCAGAGAATCATCAGTGTTTGTCCCAGGGCATTGTAGCCACCTCTGGTGCCCAATATATTTATCAAACTGCACCTCCAGAGCCTCCTGCATTTGGTCCTAAATACTGAGTGTAAAAAAGATGGATTACTTTTCCACTTTCCAAATTATTTGGGGTTTTTTAAGTTATGGAAAGTAATGGATCATAGGAGTCCTGTACAAAAGTAATTCCTCCTAAATTTAGCTAGTTGTGGTTAGTGGGTTTCTAAATAAAAATGTTGTGTAAATTATTCTACTGTATTCATTTTATAGCACATTTAAAGCTCTTCTCATGAGGGCTTTGTTTTCTAACAGTAAAATAAGAATGAAAATGAATTAAATTAACATATAAAGCTAAATGCAGCATTTATTAATGCTCTCTGTATTAATACAAAGCAGTCCTAACTCTGAAAATGGCCTTACAGATCATCTCAGACAAGGAGCAGCTCAGAAGCTTTCTGGCTCTGTTCTTTCTGGTTATGTTTTACTGTTTTGATGTTTATTCATTTCCTTATTATAACTATTCCCATCAGATTTTTGTGCTTCCCATCAGTTATTTCCACTTCAGTTTTGACACATAATACGTGTGTCTGCCAAAAGCCCTGCTGAGAGATTGCTATCAGGACAAAAGAAAGTGTTGGAAAGTCTGTTAAGTAGTGAGAAGAGAGCAGAGTCCACAGGGACAGTCAGTCTGCAACCTTTGTGCTGCAGAAAAAGTAGGATTTATTTATAATTTAGTCTGCTGCAGGCTTAAATAAATGTGTCAGATTTCATTCATTTCCCTTTGTCTGTGACATCGGATTGCTGTTGTCCAGGAAGAATCAATGGGGCATTGTAGAACAGAAAAATAAATCCAGGGCAGTGAGCTGCRTTTGTGGCAGAAAGGTTTGAGTTAAGGAATGAAATCACAGGAATYCTGCTGGAATTCTCACTCCGTGTCTGCAGGAAAGTGGAGGGTGGGTGGGACTTTCAGAAAATGTTTGCTGCTTCTCCCCTGTCCCCTCCAGGCTGGAGCGGAGCAAGAACTCCCCTCTCTGTGTGTTTTCATCTCTAAAAAAGCTCCTTGGACCGATTCTGAGCAGGGAACACTGAAATATTGAACGTTTTTAATGCCCACAATTTAATTTTCATCCTTTTCCTTGCAAGTGGCCCTGGTTTGGTTTGTCCTGCCCGTGAAGGGTCATCACTGAGGTTCCTCTTTGCAGCACCCCCAGAACTTTTGAGAGTCTGTTGCCAACTCATCCTGSTGTGTTCTTTCTAAACCTTTCCAAAATCTGTGTTTTTAAGATAATTTATTGATCTTTCTGAACTATTGCCCCACTGATCCCCTTTTTTAGTGTGGYGCCCTAGTGCCAGCTGCTCCAGTAACCGAAGCAATAATTATTTCAGCGTTCTACATTGGCAAATGAATGTTACTTTTTTTCAAAATTATAATTTTGAAAATTGTTTTTCTTTTAACACAAATCCCTATTTGCTGTTTATCCACCACACTTCAGTAAAACATGGTGGACAACCAGCTCTTACTGTTCCAGCAAAGATAATTTTTCTCTCCTGAACTGCTCTGGACCTGCAACCACCAGATGGCATTTCCAGCCTGTGCAGGTCACTGAAGCACTGATGTTACTTCTTGTCAGGGTATCCAAATTTTCTGAGTCTTTTTTATTAACATCTCACTCCGAGTTTAATTTTTTTACTCTGCTTTTAATTGTGGTCCGTCAGGAAAAAAAAAAAAAAAGAAATTAAAATTGTCAGGTGGGATTGGCAAAGTTCAGTGGTGTTTTAGTTGAATGAAGCACAGATTTGTTAAAAATCAGAATTGAGAGCTGTTTCAAGACAAATAATACAGATTCTATAACACTGGATTTATTAGCTATGTTATAGTACCAGAATATAACTAAAGTCAAGATCCATAAGGCAATGACAGAGGTGTCACCTGGCAGATTTACCCGTCCCAAAATGCTTTTGGTGCTGCTCCTTTCCATGTCCCAGCCAAACCRAGTGCAGCTGGAGCATTAATAATGTCCAATGTGCATTATTTGCCTGCTCTATCCTTGTACTTCTTTAATTCTTAACCTTAATTTGATACAGGATTTCTTTCTCACCTGTGCAGGGAGTAAAATGATGTCAAAATGAGGTTTCTAATAGTGAATTGAGAGGACAGGAGATTTTGTTGCCAAGGGCACTGCAACCCCTTTGTTTTGTGAATATTTCGTCTCTGTTGCTCAAGGTGAAAGCAAAGAGAGATCAGCTGAAAAAGCAAAGTTCCAAATTGCAAATTAATTATTATTTTTCATACAAAGACATCATTGCAGTGCCCAGAAAGCTGCTGTATGTGTCCTCAAGCTGAGATTATCCTCACCCCTGAAATTTCTGCAGCCCATAAAATCCCAGATGTCTTGAACATTTTCCTGACTAAGCTGGCTGTGGTAAAGGGAGTGAAAAACTGCTTTTCCTGGGCTTTTCCTGCCACCAGAGCAGATGTCCCACAAAGCCSCATCCWGCCTGGAGCACTGAKCTCCCTGTGTCATTCCTGACATCCTTCACCTCAGATCAGTCCAGGTGATCCTCTGGATCCTCCTCCATTCAGGAAGATTTCATCCTCTATTCATCCTCTTTCACAGGATGCAGATATTCTAGGAATCCACTGCAGAGTGGTCAAATGAGAGCTTCTGCATCTTCTTTTGGTGAGCTTTTAATACATTCAATCYATATTTTATTGTCTCATATTGTAAAATAAAAAGTTGGTGTTTACACAGCGGGATAAAGCAGAGCAATTACATAGAAAAATGAGACTCGCTGGAATTAAAAATGGACATTTCTGAAAGGATAGAACCCTCCTGACAAAAACCCTACTCAGTCCAGAGGAGTGAAGTTGTCAAAATACACCTCCCATCTGCAGAGAGGAACGCACTTTGTGTGCCTGAAAATCCTGATACTTTTCATCAGCTGCTTTTCCATCCACACTTCCTTGCTGTTCCTYTTTTGTTGTTGTTGTGTCCTCAGTTTTTCTTCTGCACATACAAGCATCTCTCAGTTCTTTACGCTCCTCAAAAATTGAGACATTTCTCCATTTCTCAATTTCTGTGTGACAGGAGTTGTTCAGAAGCACATTTAGCCAAGTGCTGTGTGCTGTTCATCACTGCCTTCAGAGTGACCTGGCAGAGCAGGAACACGCTGACATTTAAAAAAATCTATCGATTCCTGGGACAAAACAAAGGCAATCAGCGGGAGGGCTGTAATTGTTTCATTAAGTGCCATCAGCAGCGCTCTGTACATTGATCCAAAACTCCTCAGAGCTGCAGCTTCTCAATGTCATGGCTCTCCCCATGGGCACCTTATTTTTTAATTTGCTGGTTCTTGAAGGTGCTGTGAAGTCTCCTCACATTCTGKCACCAATTCTCTGTTCCTGTGTGCCCTGTGCCAGGTGAGAGATGAAAATCCCAACAGCAGAGTGGGAAAGGTTTCCTTCCCTTCTGTATTTGCTGAGACCTTTATAAATAACTCCACTTTTCTCAAATGTGAAGTCAAGGAAGTCAAATACATCCAAATCTGGCCTTCACCAAACTCCTTTTGAGTGGGCTCCACTGAACACGCTCATTTTTTCTTATTCTGAGTCAAGCACAGCTGAAATGGTCACTTTAAAAGCCAGCAGTCCATCCTCATGAGAAGCCCTAGAAATAGCTGAGTATTTAATAAAAAGTTTGAATCTGACATTAATAGTTGGATATTTAATAAGTTTGACATAAGAAGAAAGCGGCTCCTCTYCCAGCCAACATCTGGGATTCTTCTCAAACCTTTCTATACCATTGTTCATTACTGTATTTTATAGCGAGTAAAATCAGGTTTACAATCTCCTGAGCCTTCTGGTGGTACTAAAAATACAGCTAATAATTGTCTATACATCTTGTTTTTACTGGAAATAAAAATCCTCTGGATCGAGGCATRACCACGTACTATAGCCAAGCTGTAAACACTTGTTCTACAAAAAAAGGTTGAAGTTAGAGTGCARTTTCAATCCTTTCTGAAAGTTTTCACCCATGGCCTCGTCCCTTTTTCCTTGCACACCTGCACAGGTCCCTTTGGTGTGTCAGGTCCATCAAAATCTCATGTTTGGCACTGCTCAACAATTCCACCCATAGAAATGTCTGTGCAGAGATGGTATCAGGCCATTAGAGGCATTAGCTGAGATTTCACAATGTCCTTGAGGAGTTAATCCTCCTGTTTTTTCGAGGATTGTGGTAGTGAGGAAGGCCATAAATTACCTGCACTATTGTTTCTGTTGTTAACCTGAGCTAAGAAAAATGGAAGGGTTTTTATGTGCCAACTGTTTGCTTA